AAGTGGCCGAGCCAAGATTCTAAACCCAACAGTTTGGCTGCACAGTCCCTGCTCTTAACCACTCCCCAATACTGTCCCCTCTGACAACATGATGCCTGCTAACGGAGGCAAAAATGAAAACTGAGATGAGGGTCAGCCGCCTTTCGGGATATTAAATTTGAGAGTTCAAATCCATGAGGAGGGCAGCAAGTCAGTCAATTCACATCTCAGCTTTTCAGGAGCCTTGGTACCTTGTTATAAGAAAATTCCTAAAGATCTGAGTACTCTAAAACAGTGACTGTTCTAGAAACACACTCAATTTTCATTGCATATGTTATTCCAACTCAGGCCAGGCTAATCAGCTTTGCTAGCTTCCTTTCTGCACTGAAATGATGAAGAAAGCATAACTCTACCTAAGGTCTTGGCTACATCCAAGTCCTGCTGCATGTATCCAGTGCTCTTCTCTGTGTTCCCAAGAGACCAGTAAGCACTGCTCAGGGCAGAGAAAACAGAACCTCTCAGTTTGAGGCTGCAGGTGCCAATCTTCAGAGCAGCTTCTAGGACAACGACAGAGGCCCCATGATGGCCGGCTGTCAGGAGCTCCTGCCCAACCACAGACACTACCACGAAGGGACTCTTGTCCAGTTTCATTTTCTGAAGCTGCTGGTAAGTGGGCTCCAGGGAATCTGAGAAAAAACAAAACAATACAGGAGAATGGAGGAAGAGACAGAAAACATTGTCTAATATATTCTAGAAACAAATGTTTGTTACACTTTGTTACGGCCTGTTGCAAGTACAAACCCTTAGGTCTGTAATCTAGCACCACCCTAACTCTCCACTTACCTATCCCATGTGACTCCTTGTCCCCAACCCACAGTCCAGTACTTCCTTCTCTTCGCGCTTGCCTGCGTGTGCCATACTCCTCCTCTCTTCTGATCACTCTTGGATCAGGATGCGCCAGTCTCCCTTCACGGTCCTCCTCCTCTGTCCTGCCAGCCTCTCAAAGTACTGAGCACTCCCTCAAGCCCCACCTCTACTATGTAGCATTCCCCAGGCCCTGCAGCCAACGTCAGTCTTCCTATCTAAACCCTTACTGCATTTACATAGTTACCATCACACAGTTGGCCTCTTAACTCTTTTAGACTTTTTTCACATGTGTTAAACTTTATTTTTACCTTTCTCCAGCTAAATGTGAAGACCACTGTAGGACTGTTTTATGCCTTATCATAACTCCATAGCAATCGGCACAATGCAGGCATTCTATAAAAACTCACCATTGACACATAGGTGAAAGCCCCCAACACATCTGCCACCAAGTAAGTGTTTGTTTAACCTGAATTTTCTGAATGACTGATTCAGAAACTTCTAGAAGATTCAGTAAAAGAAGCTCTCTGACAAAGTGCCCATCATCTTCACCAGCAGCCCAGTGGCCACTATGCACTTTTGACCCCTTGGAGTACCATGACCACTATGCCCACATTAAAAAATAGTATCTATTTTTGTTGTGGTCATGAAAAAAACATTGCAAAATCATCTATGTTTACTAAGGTAAGATAAAAGGCAAAATTAATGTTGATTTATTTTATTTTATGTGGTATTTGGAAAGGGCATAGATTGGGGTCAGGAAGCCACAAGGAGGTTCTTTCCATTCGAAGCTAGGTTTGAAAGTGGATGACGTCCAAACTCCGCTCCCTTCTCTCCCAAGCTCACTTGCTTTGCTCTTTTTCCTGTTTAAGACAGTTGCAGAACTATTGACTGCAGCCCTAGAATCAGGTGACACTTATAGTGCTTTTGTTGTTAGCTTTCCTGAAAATCTATTTCACATTAGCTGCTCCACTGTACATATGTAAAAACTATAAAAAGGTTGGTCTCTTTAAATCTTGACTCTCCTAGCCAACAGTACTACATTAAAATGTAATTTTTACAATTTATGACTTCGAGTCTCAACTCTCTACTAAGGAGCTCTCGCCTGAATCAACATTACCACAGAAACCTCAAAACCTACTGGTGCCTAAAGCATTTCTTCCCTTCAATCAGATCACTAAACAGAGAACAAAGAACGATGCAAGTGAGATTTGCAATGCCCAGGACCAGTAAACACTAGCTAACCAATAGGGATGTAAGCCCAAGAACCAGAACTGCTAGTGGAGGGAACAATACTGAAATACGCTCAGAAGAATGTTGATGGCACCCACCGATGGTGCTGGCAGCAATGATGAGCACATCAGCAACCCAGTGGCCAATTAGCAGCAAAAAATATAGAATTTCAGAGCTAAAAACATCTTGAAAATCCTTTAACACCCTCATTCTAGAAATGGAGAATCTGAGTACTTAAGTGATTTGCCCAAAGTCAGACAGCTTGGGATGGAGCCAAGACAAGAACCTACTGCAGAGCTCTAATACCATACCATCACACAATACCATAGGAGCTCTGATGGTGCAGTGGGTAAGGTATTTGGCTGCTAAGCAAAAGGTCAGTGGTTCAAACCCACCAGCTGCTCCATGGAAGAAAGATGAGGCAGTCTGCTTCTGTAAAGGTTTACAGCTTTGGAAACCCAATCAATGGGGGTTGCTATGAGTTGGAATTGACTGGATGGCAGTGAGTTTGGTTTGGTTTTGGTTTAATACCATGTCAGGCATGGTTCTTAGTTGCTAGCAACATAAACCAATTTTGGCTGGTTTTCAGTAGAACAGAAATGCACTAAGTAGCCACTGGGAAGGGTAGGAACCAGGTCTCTACCCCCACAGTCAAAACCATGTCACAAAAGTTGCCTGATGAAGGTAAGACAACCAATGCAATTAAACAGAGGACATCACAGCTGGCAATCTGCTCTCCCACATACACTGAATGTCACCGTTGGAAAATGGATGCTACTGTTGCCACCCTCCCCCAGAACAAATTCTGTGCTATCCTTTGGCTCCTGGTTCAGTCAGGGCCCAGCTGTAAAGAAGGATGGGAGCAAGAAAATCTGGTGTCTTCAGCTTTATAATGGAAGACAAGAGGCAGAAGTATACGATGGAGAATTACCAAAATAGAAAGTGTTCAGATACTGTTATCCCACATGACTGAGAGCAAAGACATTATGCTTCAGCTGGTGACTTTCTGCCCATAGCAACCATGGCTAAGAGCAAGAGCCATGCAATTGAGCCTCGAAAACTGTACAACAATGGTAGGAAGATGAGAGAACACTGCCACAGTTACAGGGCTGAAGGGAATACTCAGATTTCCAAAAGAGAAAGAAATCATCAACTGTACAATTTTTCACTAGATGAAAATGAAATTAAAGAGAGGTAAAGATTAAATTTCCATTTGCAGTATACAGGAAAGAGAATATAAAGGCATTAAAAGATAATTACATTTCAAGCTAACGTACATATTTTAAGAGTTTGTAAGAAGAACTGATTATCAAAGGCCATGGGAAACTTCACGGAAGCAAAGCTTGAAGAAAGGGTAGAATCTAGATAAGAAGAGCGGAGGGCATGTTAGGCAGAAGGTCACCCGAAACCCAGGTGCCAGAAGAAGACAGGAACAAGGAACGACAGGCCAGTTTGAATGGATCACAGATTACTGGTAGGGAAGGAAGCTAATAGTGGAAATACTGAGCCGAAGATAAAGAAATCTAGATTTCAAAGCCACGTAGCCTCAGTCTCCTTATCTCCTTATTTTGTCAAATGTATAGGTTGCGACCGTGGTGGTGGTTACACAAACTTTTATATGAGTATAAATACACACGTATGCATGTACATACAGGCATATTACATATACATATATACAGGCAGTCCCCGGGTTACGGAGGTTCAACTTATGTACATCTGGTAGTTACGAACTGACCTCCATAAAGCTTATTATATTAAAAATTTGAGGTACACATAATGGTTTGTAATAAATTGACACTACTCTGTGATGCACATCAAGATATTACTATTATTATTATTACCTTATTATTACATTAAGCAAGCACCTCTAGTGGCACAATGCCTAAGGCATTTGATGGCTAACCAGATGGTTGGCAGTTCAAACCCACCAGCCACTCCATGGAAGGAAGATGGGGCAATCTACTTCTGTAAAATTTTACAGCCTCAAAACCCAGTGGGGGGGTCACTATAAGTCAGAACTCACTTGATGGCAGTGGGTTTGGTTTGGTTTATTACATTAAAATTGTTGTAGTGTGTCTGGAAGTGTTTCTTTTATGTTTTTCATGTATAGAAAGGTACATGATACACTAAGACAAACATCTGACTAAGTGACATTAGATATGAACTGTACCTAACTGTTCCAATTCATGTATAAATTCGACTTAGAGACAGACTTACAGAAGGCACTCATTCATAACGCAGGGACTGCTTGTATGTATATATACATGAACAAACACACACATACATACACAAAGACATACATATATAGATGTACACACATATACATCCATATACACATCTATACACATATACAAATATACACACACAGGCACACACACGTAGGAGACAACCCTGGGTGGTACAGTTAACACGCTCAGCTGCTAACCACAAGGACGGAGGTGTGCGTCCACCCACAGGTACCTTGGGAAAAAGGCCAGGTGTTCTCCTCCTGAAAAACCAGGCACTGAAAACCCTGGAGCATAGCTCCACTCCAACACCAATAAGGTTGCCATGAGTCGGAGCCAACTAGATGGGAACTGGTTTTCACATACATGGGGGTACATATGTAAGGACATCTCATCTGTCCACACCCACTAATCAGATGCACCGTTTAGCAATTTTATGTGCTCTTGATGAAGAAAATCAGCAAGATATGTTTTTTAAAACATAAAAAATAACCAACACAGAGTAAGGTAGAAAATTTGAACAGATCCCTAACAAAAGAAGAAATTGAACAGGTCACCAAAAAAATTACCAACAAAATAAAAGTCCTGGCCCAGAAGGCTTCACTGGTAAATTCTACCAAATATTCACAGAACAGCTAACACCAATTCTACTCAAACTATTCCAGAATATTAAAAAGAAGGGAATAAGCCTGAATTCATTTTATGAAGCAAACATAACCCTGATACCAGTCAGGCAAAGACACCACTAAAAAAGAAAATTATACACTAATATTCCTCATGAACACAGACACAACAATCCTCAATAAATTCCAAGCTAAAAAAGAAGTAAAACTATCTCTTTTTTGCAGATGATAATAATCTTATACAAACAACCTATCAAAAAAAAAATACCAAAAAAATAATCAGGACCAAGTGGGAGTCATACCAGGTAAAAAAGGATGATCAACTTTAGAAAATCAATGTAATTCATTAAATAAATAAAACAAAGGAAAAGACCCAAACAATCTGCAATGGATGCAGAAAAGGTATTTGACAAAATCCAACCCCATTCCTGACAAGCATGCTGAACAAAATACGAATAATAGGGAAATTCCTCAACACAATTAAGGGCATATATACAAAACCAACAGCCAACATTATTCTCAATGGGGTGAGACTGAAAGCATTCACTTTACAAACAGGTACCAGACAAGGATGCTCTCTATCAGCACTCTGATTCAATATTGTGTTAGAAGTCCTTGCCAGAGCATTAAGGCAAGAAAGGGAAGTAAAAGGCATCCAAACTGGTAAACCAAGAAAAAAAAACCAAACTCATGTCCGTCGAGTCGATTCCAACTCAAAGTGATCCCCTTTGAGTTTCTGAG